TTTTGTTGGAGGAAATTTGGTCTCATGGAAGAGTAAGAAGCAGAACGTTGTGTCAAGATCGAGTGCAGAGGCAGAATATAGGGCTATGGCACAGTCTGTGTGTGAGATAACATGGATATGTCAGCTCTTGACTGAAATAGGTCTTAAGATTTTAGTTCCAACAAAATTGTGGTGTGGTAACCAAGTTGCCCTTCATATTGCATCTAATCCTGTGTTTCATGAGCGAACTAAACATATTGAAATTGCTTGTCATTTTGTTCGTAAGAAAATTCAGCAAGGTTTGATTTCTACAGGGTACGTGAAGATTGGAGAACAATTAGAGGATATCTTCACGAAAGCTTTAGATGAGGTTCGGGTTGATTATCTTTGTAACAAGTTGGGCATGATTAATACCTATACTCCAACTTGAGGGGGAATGTTAAAGGTTATGTTGGCTAATTACCTTAATTCTAGGTTTTCCTAATTTGTACAGTTTCCTAAAATAGTTTCCTAAGCTTTGTATATATATGTATCGTTTCTCCAATGAATAAAGTGAAATAAGAATTCTTTTATTTAACAGAGAATTGTGAAGCATTGGTTCATTAATTGTTCAATTCACAATATCATTTACCTCAATTAGAGCAACAATTAAGAGTTGAAAAACTTTATTAGGTTCTCAGATCGCAAACTAACAGAGAGGCAATATAATCACTAAAGCTAAGTCCCAAAAGATGAGAGATGTTGAGAGAGGAACAGAGGCATACTCTATCAAGAAATCGACTGATGCATCCATAAGACTGAATTTCGTCAAGTGAGTCTTGACCATGCTTGCAGCTTTTTCTTGGCAATATTTTCTTCCGCAATCACAATCATTTAGATATAGCATTATTCGTCTGTCACAAGTATCATTTTTGAAATTGACTCCACAAAGCAGCATTTCCTGAGATAAGAAACAGTAGGTAGTATGTGTAAATACTTTGTTGAGATCAAAATTAAATAAATTTTAAGTGAATGCATCTCCAGATTCAAAAGACCTTAACTACCTTCATCATCTCCCAAGAAGAGTTACTACTCGAGGAAGAATCAAGAACTGCCTTGTATGCAGGATTTGACATGGCAGTTGCAGCTAACACCCCAACAGGATCACCAGCAGCAAACTCATTTGAAATATTGGCAGTGTTAACTCCATATTCAAATTGAATGATCGAGTTACTGCACATATTTCTCACAGTGCCATCATGACAAATCATAACATCTCGAAGGACTGCCATCAGATTCTTAAATAATGTTCCTGGTTCAGTCAATCCTCTTGAGGAGCGGACAATTACTTCTCTACTGGAGATTGAATGGACCATTTCCTGATATGGATCCAAGCCTTGAAAGAGGGGTCTACCAACCAACCCATATTTCTCAGTGGGATAGCTATCACTGGAAGGATACTTGTTTTGGAATAGTGATGACATAGCATTCACCAAAGTCCCAGTATAGAACTTCCCCTTATCTGCTAATTGCAACCCCAAGAATCCAATTTGCTGAACCACCTTGCTGAGAGCAGATTCACTTTTTGAATCTATGAGATGGCCTATTGCAGAAGATTTGAGTATGAAGTTTGTAACTGGTATTTTCACACTTCGCAAGTAATTCTCCAACTGCAACGCGATAGATTCACTATAACATGCACGCAAATTATGTAGCAATGGAGAAATCTTCTGAATATCTGCTTGGATGTTCTTTAAAATGTCCCCAGGTATGAAAAGATCTCTTAAACTAACACTAAACCCTTCTGAGTAGAGATTTTCCATTAACTGGGGTTGTAGAGTGTTGAAGAACCCCAAAACCTCCTTAGGGCCCTTCAAAAAGAAAATTGATGTGACAATGTCATTGATAATGGCCTGCATCACATCCCTATTAAACTCAACTGTCAATACCTCACTTTTACTAATAAAATGTCTCTCCCCAGAACAATCAAAGTTAGGAGGTAAAGTGATCTGCAAAATCTGTGCAGCAGTCCAAAGAGGGCCAGCTTTACAAGATTTCAGCACTGCAGGACCAGGAAAATAATTGGGGGCAAACATCGCCAACTGTTGTGCTGCTGCTCTGCTCAAGTAGTAGTTTTGGAAAATGAGTTTCAGAGACAGAAGGGAATCAGTTCCCAGTTGCAGGTTGAAATTGCCAGTGTGAGAGCTAAGCAGCTGTTTCTCTACGGAGAAAAGCTCTACCACTTCTGCTTTAGCTTCAAGAGACTGAGGGTAAAATAAATGGATGCAATCCCCATCAAAGTCAGCACTAAGTGGACTGCAAATAAGGGGATTGATCTTCACAGTATGATCATCATGAATATAGACTGACAGAGCTTGGAGGGAATGCTTGTGTGTAGTTGGTGGTCTGTTGATAAACACTATATCTCCATCCATTATCCTACGGTGCACTATCTGCCCAGGTTTCAAAAATGTATGTCCCTTTGATCCCTCCCTCAACGAATATGTAGACTCGCCATCCCTATAAGTTAAACAAAGCTTTTCATCAACCAGTCTTTGAAGGCATTCCATGTTGTGCTGGTTTACTCTCTCCTCAAAGGTGATTTTTTGGGCTATTTCGAATGGCAACCCAATCTCAGACACGCCTTTGAAGGAATCGCCAGTTATCACACTACGAGAAGAAAATCCAGATCCCTTCCTAATAAACAGAGTTTTCATCTTCTCAAGCCAAGCTTTAGTAGATGAAGCATTTATATCTTTATTGACTCCGAAACGTGTATCCACATCACGAGATGCCTGGTAGAGGAAACGTACGTTGAAGAGAAACAAAGACATTAGTATAAACATCAATTGTAGCATCTTGATCCCAATAATGTAAACCAAGAGGGGATCCAATATAACATGGAAGAACAGAGTACTAGGCATATCAGAAATAAAACTAGCACAAAGCTCCGCAAGTACCTTGCCCGTGCCTCTAAAGTGAAAATATTGTGCTACAGCTGCCTGTAAATCGTTGGCTTCAATCTCATGAGATTCAAAGTTTGGGGTCCCAGACCGAGAATTTTTTATTACCTCTACTTGTTTCAGCACTTTCTTAAGCAGAGTTATCGAATAATCCTGGACAACACGTCATGATGACTATAAGCCAGCATTGATAAGACATCAAGGTTCAAGCGTGAAGTAGAATTACAAGAATGTCTTACCGTAGACATAGTACTTATCCCATCAGAAACATCTGGCACGGACAAACAGTTTGGAGGGACTGGCAAGTGTTGCAGGATATATCCATCTTGAGGGAAATACCCTTTTGCATCAAGTTTTTTCCTAGTCTCCTTGGGAATTTTTTTTAAAATTTCCATCACCTGACAGTTATGGAACAAAGAAAATAAGTTTGATCAGCTCTGTGCTATGCTGCCTGGCTGAAAGATTCAGTCATTTAAAGAAGTGGCATGGTAGATGGCACAAGTTTTAAGTTCCAGAATTTAATCAACAAAATCTTGCAATTCTTTTGCAAATATTTTTCGTGTTAAAGATAATATGTAACCACGGAACAGAAGGGGGGCTCATTAACCAAAAAGAATAGGCAAGAATAGAAAACCTTAATCTGCATGTGCTCATAATGGCGCAGCTAAATGGGGAATGAAAAAAGGAAGAATGAAATCAACAGGGAACTGCAGTTCTGTAAACACTGGACATTAACCAAAAACAAATAGAAAATGCCATAATTATATAACCCAAAAAAGAGCAAGCTCAATACAGAAAGCCAGATATTCCATTCCAGTCCACAGTGATCTTTTCAAATGTAGAAAGAAAATTGAAAATTTAAATTCGTGCAGAAAGGTTTGAGGTGTGCAATAAGAAAATTAATTGCAATGAACTCCTAGTGGCAGCAAACATGCACTTCACATATTCCATTTTGACTCGTGGATGAAACTATATAGATACTATACAATATTATGCTTTGGTTGTTGCATAAAATAAAATTCTAGACGGACCAAACAACCCCCATAAACACAACTAAGTGGCCACATAATAGGCAGAACACTATGATGGTAACAAACATCTGCAATCCTGCAACCCAATCAACACGGTTACACTAAAAGTAAGATCAAAATTCTCAATATATGATTAACTACTTGTAATTAGAAAAAACACATACAAATACGCAATAACAGAAAACTTAAAATTCAAATAAAAGATATGCACAACTTAACCTCAGAAGGAAGCAACGCTCGAGAATAGCTACGCCCATATCGAAATCCATATTTTTCCAAGAAGTTCCAGAATCCTTCTCGAACTGATCTTGATGGTATTTTCAACTCCAAGAAACAAGCCCCATCGGTAGTCCTGACCTCATTGATTGAGATTAGTGAAGTCTCCTGCAAAAAAGTAAGATAAAAAGCCCTCAATAAATACTGCCTCAAAATTTTTCATTAATTGATTTTTGATTGGTGATTACTGTGTCTGATAAACAAATTAGTTCAATGATTATCATAAACAATGACTTCAATTTTAACAATAAAGATCAATTCCATACAATTAACAGGGTAAAATAGCTACAAACTGAACTGGTGGATAAGATACAATGAATATTTTTGGACAATAAACAGAAGCTACATAACTGTATTGAAGTCTTGAAGAACATGGCTCAAGAGAACAAGGAGTACCTTTAAAGCATAAAAGCATCCATGTCCAAAATAAAAATAAAAAATACATCACATTCTTCCAAAGAAGAAGTATTAAAGACAAAGGAAAATCCTTAAAACTATTGGATATAGACGCCCATAATAAAAGGCCAAAAACTTGTGATAGTAGGCAACACTCTTTAACCATCTTCCAGCTGAGACACACAAGGATCAGCAAATGCAACCATATAAATATTTTACCAAAGCACAGGAAAAATGTACATCATATGGGAAACCAAGTGCTACAGGGGCATTGATTGGATTGCTTAATAAAGAAAGATGCTAGAGATCCAATGGAGCTAGCAAAATAAAATATAAGATCCTCCGTCGCCCATGCTGTCCCAGAGATCAGCTTTATTATAGATTGCTAACATTACAGAATACTGTAAAGCTCCAATTTAATGGAAAATTTTATGCAGCTCCATTTTTGCTAATCATCGGTTCTTTAAAGTTCTCGGTCAACATATTTCAAGTTCCAACTTGTGTATTTTCATTTCATTTGAGATCACGAGCTCAACTTAATCTTGGACATATTCCGAGAGAGTATCTAATAATTAAGTTTTAAAAATGTAATACCGCAAAACTACTAACGTCAAACTCACAATTTCAAATTATATGTAGGAAAACGTATCGTATATAATACTTCTATACTGGAAAAGAAATCCCATATTCAACATTCTTGGAAATCATTAGAGAGTTAAAAGTACCTCACAGCATGAGGATAACACTCTTTCAGCAACACCAATATTCTTGACCTGAGATTGAAAGCAAAGAACCCAGCAAGATGAAGCGTGAGGATATAAAGATAGAATTCGAGGCAGATCAGTCAAATCAAAATACAAACCAATAGAACGAATGAAGCAGAAGTGCGGCAATGTTATTTTTTTAACTACCCGTTTTAGATTGTGAAAAGAATAAACACAACACAGATGCACAATCAGGAGATTAATCATAATACATAATGCATTTTCAGGTATAAAAAAGCAAACTAGAAAAGCAGGTGTGTACTTTAGCCCTTGTTTGGTTTAGCTAAATATCATATTTTTGGTAGATTCTGATATAAGTTGATGAAATGTGTGATTCAAAAGTTGATCAAAGTTGTGGGTTCCATGAAATGTGGTTAAGAATAATTGTTGATTTTAACTTAGATTTTTAACTACCTTTTTAGCTGAATCAAACAGGGGCCTAAAGTTTTCACAACGTGAAACGTGAATATCTCGCATTGCATGTATATTAACAGTATCTAGTCTAGATCTAGCTAGAAAGCGGACAATTTAGAGTTCTTAAACTTACTACCAAACAAGAAATGGCTTTCATTTAATAGAATGTCAGACACCACTTCACTTTGTACCCAAGAAGTATCTATAGGAACTAATACCTTCCTATTTTTCATCTTCAAACACTTCAAGCACAACAAGCTTAACATTCTTTTCAGTTCACCAACATGGTCAGGATGATATACTGGAGTAGGAAATTCGATGTATCCAAAATGACCTGAAAATGTTAACAAGAAACCAAAATTTTCAGAACTTGTATCTTTCGAAGAATGTGAGCAGTCGTCTTATCCGGACGAAAAACTTTTGCATTTAAGAAAAGTTCTTGTTCTATGAAACTAGATTGTCATACCTTCACATTGCCCAGGTTCAGCAGTACCGCATGACTCGCATCTTCCAGCTTCAAGAGGCAAGCCAAGAAAAGGATTGGACAGCTGGCTAGCATGGCTGATCGGACAGTCACTGATAGATGCTTTACACTACTCAAAAGATCAAGAGACAATTACTTTTCCACCAGAAACGGCATCACTTTTTAAAATAGTACTCGGTGAAGTGTATATATCAGTTGAAAGCAATTTTCTAGCTTCTTATGTATAAGAGAAAATTGATTATAATATTAATCCAGTAAAATAAGGATAAGTGCTAAACTTCACCGTTATGATCCAGAAGAAACTCAAGAAGAATATTTCAGATTCAAGTCATGATTTTTCTTTTAGAAAACTTGGACAGGATATTTGTCCATTGAAAAAAATAATAATAATAAAGAAAGAAAGAACCACTGCATCATGGCCCTAGTCATCCTTCTTGAAACTTAAACAGTTCAAAGAAAGGAAGTGAAAGAAGAATGTATACTCACAATTTCATGACGGGTAGCCATCGCAAATCGGATTCCGGTTATCTTGGCGTCAAAAATTGTAGATGATGTACTTTCTTCCATTTCTTTTACACACCTGAGATTATGGACGATGAAATATGTTCTAATCAACAATCGGTAATTATTTAGGAAAAGTAGAACAAATAATTATACTCGTAAAGATTTCAAAATGGATTACTTTGCTGCAGTATTCTTGGGGTGAATATCAAGCTCAGAGCACATAATACTTTTACACATTAGCAAGAATAAAATACTAAATTACATATATACTCAGGTCCAATAATTACTTATCCTGCAGCAACATAGAAGCCATTGGCTAGCTCAGTTGGCACACATGGATCGTAGATAAGTAAAATATGAACCCCAGAACAATAATTATATAAACAAAACTCAGTTAAGGTGAAAACCGATTGCACAAAACATGTGAAGCAGAGAGGACCAAACCCTTCAAAACATCCAACTTCCATCGTCTATGGAGAATAAACCAACTCTGTATTACATTTTGACACAAAATGGTAGAATGTAGAAAAGTGTTGAA